GAAGTTTAAGATATTTCCGCCTGGAGATGAACGTGGACAAGTCAGTGGTGATGCCCTTAGGGGCTAACCTGGGGAAAAGTCTTGGCGCTCGGATGGTTTTCGCTGGGCGGAGAAAGATGAAGCGGAAAGGCTCCTAGGGGTTTGGATTACGCCGAGCGGAAGCTGCCAGCCGACATGGGATAAGGCGCTGCAGAAGATGGTTGCGAAGATGTCGTTATGGCAGCCCGCAATATCTCCGAATTAAGGCTCGGACGGCTGGTGATGGACGGCTACATACTGCCGGATCGCATGGTCGCAGGCGCAGGTCTATCCTCCTCCGGCGCAAACCTGGGGGGTCATTACTAAGATGACTCACAACTTCATGTCACGCCAACAAAGCTTCATCGGAGAACTGTTTCCGTCTCTGGAGCAAGGAACTGCTATTTACGCCGGTTCTGGAAGGAGGTGTGGGGGCGATGAACCCAGAAGCGATGCTTACCTGTCTGACGGCTCGGAGGATAGCGTTGACGCTCACGGAAACAGATCAGCTGAAGAGAGCATTGATGCGGCAAGCGGCTGACCTACCACGTGGGCTGGAGACTTTCGCGGCACATGTGAAGCTACTAAAAACATGGGAGGGGAAAAGCCAGAGGTGGATGTTGGCATGCGCGAACTTCATGCACTCTCCGCTGGCGGATTCTACTGAACAACGGGATTTGAAGGAGCTGTTGCTGGAGAGAATCACTTTAACAGACACGTCCTCTTGAACGCTCCACACCGGTGGGAGGACAGAAGGCGGTGAAGCAGCTTCATAATATCAGGTTGGGTGACCTTCTTGGGAGAGATACGGCAGGGCGAGGAGTGCTGAAAAGCTGTGAAACCCTAACGAGGGAGCTGAGAGGGAAGGATTCTGCAAACCTCGCGCTCAAAGCTTTTGCTGCAGCACCGGCGTCATGGAGGAGTCAACTCCTCTCTGACGTGCTTCCGAACGTGGGGTTCGCGGAGGAGTATGAGCTGGGGAGAGGGGGACCTTCACAGCTCCGGATGAAGCTGCTAGCGGAAGGGGGGGCAGTTCCACTAAAGACACTCAGGAAGCACTGGAGGCTTGGGGACAGTGGAAAAACTAGACGGGAGAGATGGGCAAGCCGTTGGGGGGGTAGCATTGATTGGAAACGGGCAGTCCAAATTCGCGAGTCGCTGGTCACCCCCAGCCGGTCCGAGGGATGTCTTGCTACGTATCCACTGCCTTAATCTTCAGGTCGGGGAGAGGCTGGAGTTCCTCAGCAGCAAACCGGTTTGCCCTCACTGTGGAGGGTTTGAGACGTTAGAGCACTGCTTTTAGAGTGTCCAAGGACTCAGGGGGTGGTTTCAGCGGTAAAAAAGGCCTTGAGGATGATCAACCCTGCCAGGAAAAAGGACTCGCTCGGTGATTGGTTATTCGGTGAAGCGGGTTCCATGTCAGCATTCCCGGAGGCGTCGTTGATAGCGATTGCCCTCCATCAGCTGTGGGTGGAGAGATGTGAAGGTGCCTTCAGGGGCTGCAAATTCCGCACGCGGAGAGTTCTGCGGAAGATTGAGTCAGCGCTCCGCATGCATGTGAATGTCTACATACGTGCCTCGGACCACGAGGGTGGCCAGCAGCGAGGAAAAGGGCAGCTCGCCAGGTGGCAGAAAATGACTGAACAGGAACGTACTCTTCTGGATCGGATCAGGGTGGTGGATGGCAAAGGATGGAAATGGTCCAACAGTTTTGCGGCACTTTGGGGCAAACCTCGCAAGGCCCCGGATCCATGTCTGGAGGATCAGATATTCCTGGAGCGAGTCCTCTCGTCTCCCTTGCACAGTTACGACTGTTATGCGTTGTACACTTGTTCACTCTAGTGTATGATTCATTAAGCAAAAAAAAAAAAAAAATGTGTTAAAACCGAACCTACATTCTGAAGGTTGCTTCGTTTTTGGTAGGGAGCTTTCTGATTCTGGCTTGGCGCCAATGTTGCTTTTTGTGGCGCGAGTCGCGTTTGCTCCGCAACCATTTGCATGAGGTGATGAAATGGCGCGAAAACTGTTCATCGTTCTGGTGATGCGCTATCTGCTTGTCATCGCGTTACAGAACTATGTTCAATTTCTGCATTGAAAATGTACAACGCTGTACCACGGGGAAACAAATATACATATTGTAAGGAAAATTCCTTTCCCTTACTTCGCGTCCCCGCTCAGCGCGTACACCACTGTAGCACCCACAGTCAGCACCGTTACCACTCGCAACCCTCGCATCGACAATTTTCCCCGCCACCTTCGCACGCGTCTCACCCCCGACCTCACGGCTCGGCGGGTAACCCGCGCTCCGGGCCTCCGCTTCGATATTTCCCCAAACCTAAGTCACAGGCACGTCGCGTGACAACCACAGTCCATTGCCGTTACCACTGTAGTTTCGCTATATATTCTTCACTCATGCCTTCGCTCAAAGAACTCTTGCTTCGATAGTGCAATTCATCGCTCGCTCACTCAATTGCACTCGTAACACTTAGTATTCATAGCCTACGATCTCTTCTCGACCGCACCACACATTCGCTTCCCCCACTATCTCAATGTTTTAGGGGGTAGACGTTCTCTCAGCGACACAGCACCGTCCGCTCGTAGTGCTCTCTCATAAGCACGCACGGCCACGACAGAGGCTCTCGTTGAGCTTGCCCGACACCCGCTGCCATGGCCGAATTTACTCTCGCGACACTGACGCAGGAGCAACTCGACCGTCTCGTGCGCCAAGTCGAAGAAATCAGCGCTCAAAATTGCGACGCTCGCGGCGGAACGTGACTCCGCGCAGTCAGGACTGAGGACTGACACAACCCGAGCTCGACAAACTGAGGAAGCATTTAGATTACTTTGTTAGAGAAGAAATTCATCCGACTGATCTCGTCACCGTTCGCCGCACCGATACTGTTAACGCCAAAAAAAGACGGAGGGTTTCGTATGTGCATCGATTACCGAGCGCTCAACAGGGTAACAGTCAAGTCGCGGTACCCCATTCCCCGCGCCAACGAAACACATCGACCGATTGCGAACAGCACGGGTTTTCTCGAAAATAGATTTAAGGGGGGGCTACCATCAGATTAGAGTCAAACCATCGGACTGCGCCAAAACAGCTTTCCGGACTAGGTACGGGTCGTTCGAGTACACCATGATGCCCTTCGGGCTGACCAACGCACCAGCGACTTTTTCAGATGACCATGAACGAGGCGTTTAGGCCACTTTTAGATAAATGCGTGATAGTTTACCTCCACGACATCCTCGTCTACAGTCGAGACACGCAGCAGCACTTAGCAGATCTGGAAGCAAGTCCTTCAAATTTTAGTACGGAGACCGGTTACTAACAAAGGGCTCTAAGTGCGAGTTTTTTTAAGGACAGGCTAGAGTTTTTGGGGCACGTTATTTCGGAGGCTAGGGTCAAAATTGACCCAAAGAAGTTGGACAACGGTGAAAGCCTGGCACCCCCCGACGAATATCACGGAACTACAGAGGCTTTTGGGGGTTCGTCAATTACGTGTGTCGGTTCGTCCCTAACATGGCAAGGTTAACAGCGCCGTTGACGCACTTGTTACGTAAGGGGGTCGCTTTTACGTGGGGGGAGAAAGAGCATGCTGCCTTCTCTGCCCTGAAAAATGTTCTCTGTTCACCGCCCGTCCTGCGCATCGCCGACCCACACACCGCCCATTCGAAATAGTTACCGACGCAAGCGACATCGCCCTAGGAGCCGTACTGCTACAGGACTTTGGCAACGGCCTACAGACCCATTGCATTGTCGAACTTATATGCTATAGTATGTTTAGGCTGTAGTGGGGTAGTCTATATGGGTACAACACTTTAGGGTTTCCTACTTGTACTCCTCATGCTGCTCAATGCAATCATTCCTCATTTCTCACATGGTATAGAGCAGGTTCCCTAGTGGGAACGCTTCCTAAGGGCCCACCACTAATTTATTTTTTCTTCTCGGGGCGCGCTTCTCTCCTTCCCGAGTCGAGCCCCGTGTGCCCTCCCTCCCGTCGCGTCCCTAGCCCTTAGCGGCCCGTCGCGCCCTCTTCGTTAGCGCCCTAGCGGCCCCTTTGCGCGGCCCTCGCGGCCCCTCTCACGGCCCCGTCCGTCGCGCCTCTAGGCCCGTCGCGGCCCCTTAGCGGCCCCCGTCGCCGCCTATCTAGGCCCCTCGCGGCCCCTTCGCGGCCCCGTCGCCGCCTCTCTAGGCCCCGTCGCCGCCTCTCCAGGCCCCTTCCGGCCCCTCTAGACCCGGTCGCGCGCGCCCCTAACGGCCCCGTCACCCCCCGCGCCCGGGAGGCCCCGTCGCCGCCCTTCGCGGCCACCTCGCCGCCCTTAGCAGCCCCGTCGCCACCCTAACCGCCGCCCCGTCGCCGACCCTAGCGGCCCCCGTCGCCGCCCTACCAGCCCCGTCGCCGACCCTAGCAGCCTCGTTGCCGCGCCCTAAGCGGCCCTGTCGCCGACCCTACCGGCCCCGTCGTTGCCCTAACCCGGCCCCGTGGCCGCCCTAAGCGGCCCGTCGCCGACCCTACCCGACCCTACCCCCCGTTGCCGCCCACCCGTTGCCGCCCTACCGGCCCCGTCGCCGCCCTACCGACCCCGTCGCCGACCCTAGCAGCCTCGTCGCCACCCCTTTGCGGCCCCGTCGTCGCCCTTCGCGGCCCCGTAGCCGCCCCTAGCGGCCCCGTCGCCGTTCTTCACGGCCGCGTCGCCGTCTCTACCGGCCCCTTCAACCGCCGCCCCATCAACGCCCAGCAGCCGGCAGCCGAGGCGCCCGACAGCTCAGCCGCCAAGCCGCCCAGCAGCCGAGCCGCCGAGCCACCCAGCAGCCGAGCCGCCGAGCCGCCAGGCCGCCCTGCAGCCGAGCCTCCGTGTCGCCCAGCAGCCGAGCCGCCGAGCCGCCCTGCCGTCGAGCCGCCACTGTCCATGTCCGACGCGCCCCGGCCCTACTTCCTTGGACTGGTGAGCTAACTCCCTGCTAGACCACTGCAGACATGGCTACCCCCAGTGTCCTTACCTTTGATACTGAGGGTCGTGCTGTTGACTTTGAGGTCTGGGGTCGATGACCTCCAGCTGTTCTTACAGTGCGATAGGGCAGAACGGACTCTCTCTGTTCGATCTCACCCTCTAGTGTCTCTCCTGCCCCGCCTGCTAACTTCTGGACAGTGGACATGCCAGGCACTGTTCGCTCACAGTGGGCCACCGCGCGATGCTGCTGCACGTCTGCTGTGCGTCGCCACTTACCGACCACTGAGCGTGTGCAATTAGAGCCAGTACAAGAGTGCTAAGACCTTGTACGACGCTCTAGTTGCACGCTACTCTTCCCGCTGCCACTAACTAGCGCGTTAGCCGCCTCATGCTGCCGTACCTGTTCTCTGACCTTGCTGCCTTTCCCACAGTCGCTGACCTCATTACGCACCTTCGCACTAGTGACACTCGCTACGCGCTCGCCCGCTGCTGCGCATCCTGCTGAATTCTGTGCCAGAACCCCCCCCCCATGTACATCACCCTCTACTACATAGTCACCCGGCTCCCTGACTCCCTTCGCTTAGTCAGGGACCACACTTCCTCTTAGTTTGCCCCACCACACTCACCGTTGACCTCTCTCGAGGAGCGCCTCCTAGCAGCAGAGAAGAGCATAGTCGCTGTAGAGCCTCTCGTGTGACCCTCCCTCGCACCCCTGTCTTTGAGGGGTGTTCTCCTCCCTCCCCCCTCTTGCCCTCTGTTGCTCCTGCTGCTGCGGCCGGCACCTCGTTGGCTTCGAGTCGGTCGGCGCTGCGTCTGTCCCCTAGCGAAGTGCCGCACCGGCAAGGGCAAGGGGGCAAGGGCGCAGGGGGGCCAGTGGGGGCGGTGGAGGTGGTGGTGGAGGCAGTGGAAGGGGGTGTGGGGTGGTGGTGGGAGTGGTGGCGGGGGTGGAGGTGTCGGGTGGCAGCAGTGGAGGCGGAGGAGGCGGCGGTGGTGGCGGAGGGAGCGGAGGCGGCGGCGGTGGCGGAGGCGGCGGAGGTGGCGGAGGCGACGGAGGTGGCGGTCTGCGCCAGCAGTAGCAGCGCGGTCTTGAGGACCCTGTACCTCAGCAGCTTCGTGAGTGGTACGCTGGGCGTCAGCGGGGTGGGGGTACTGGTCCTGCACCTACGTCCTCCGTACAGGCGACTGGTGCTGGTGAGCAGTGCGGGGGCACGCACTCCACCCAGCGCTGCTTCGGCCGCATGACGGACGCTTGGCGGTCATCAGTTCCCTGACGCCACTGAGATCCCTCGCTGGGGAGAGCTGTCTAGGGCTGGGGCAGCTATCTTGATCTTGACTATGATGCTATTCTTGCTGCCATGCATGCTGTGTCTACTGACGATGAGGGTGACTGTTACCTGTGTGTTCCGCCTGACCCGGGCATTGAGGCTGCTGCTCTAGGTGCTGGTGAGACTGCTGCTCCAGGTGCTAGTGCGTCTGCTGCCCCAGGTGCTGGTGAGTCTGCTCTCTCAGGTACCTCACGTCGGCTTAGGCCTTGCACACCCTTACCCTTGACTCGGTGCTTCCCGCTCCTTCTTTCGAGACCGCACCACGCTTACGCCACTTAGTCGGCCGGTTGCGTCTCCCTGGCGGACCCCTCTGGAGGTCTTGTCCTTGCTAGCTTCTCCACTGTCTTACTGTGTTCGGCAGCCCCCTCTGGCACCCTTTCTGGTCTCTACCTCCCTTGTTCTCTACGAACTTGGTGAGTGAGCTGATCTACAGGATCGGGGGTTGACCAGTTCACACCTGCGCGTCCGCGGGTGACCCACTGTACGTGGTGCTCAAACGGGCCGACACTTGCCACGTTTACCGCCAGCCGGGGTCGAGCCGTACACACTGACAACTGAGTCTCCTCTTGTTACTGCGTCTGGTCAGGTAGCTGCGTCGAGTCAAGTATTTGCTGCAGCGTCCAGGTCTGGTCCTGAGTTTGCGCCTTGCTCGTGTCGTCTCCTGTCCCACCTGACTCTCCTTTGGCACCACCGCCTTGGTCACCCCTTCGTGCCTCGTCTCTGAGGCATGGCCTCCCGTGTCCTTGTCTCTAGTCTCCCCCTGTCCCTCCCTCCCCTACCTCAGGGGCGGCCCCTACCTGCGTCCCCTGCGTCGAGGGGCGGCAGCGCGCCGCTCCTCACTCCCCTCCGAGTTTCCTCCGACATAGGCTCCCTGCAGCCTCTTCACATGGACGTGTGGGGCCCCGCCCGCGTCCGTGGCCAGGGTCACGAGCGTTACTTCTTTTGTTGGTGGTTGAAGACTACTCGCGTTACACCACGGTGTTTCCCCTTGTACAGCAAGGGTGACGTCACTGAGGTGTTGATCGACTGGATCCTTGCAGCTCGTCTCAGCTCAGAGAGAGTTTCGGCTCGGACTTTCCTGTTCTGCGTCAGCACTCTGACAGAGGCGGGGAGCTTTCTCTGCTGCCCGTGTGGGAGCCTTCTGTCGTGCATAGGGCATCCACTAGACCTTCACGCTTGCGGCCTCTCCACAGCAAAATGGGATTGCTGAGCGCCGCATTGGCATGGTCATGGACGTCGCTCGTACGTCCATGATCCATGCGGCTGCTCCCCATTTTCTGTGGCCGTTTTGCGGTTCAGTACGCGGCGCATCAGCTCAATCTTCAGCCCCGGGTCTCCTTACCAGAGACCTCCCCCACCTTGAGGTGGACGGGGAAGGTTGGCGATGCGTCTGCGTTTCGGGTCTGGGGATCTCGGGCGTTTGTCCGCGACTTGTATGCGGACAAGCTGTCCCCCCGTGCTGTTCCCTACGTCTTCCTCTGGCTTCCCCCCTGACGCGCCTTGTTGGCAGTTCTACCACCCCACCTTGCGCCGTGTTCTGTCCTCCTAGGACGTCACCTTTGACGAGTCGGTGCCTTACTACCGTCTCTTCCCCTGCCGCACTGCGCCCCTCCCCCCGCCGCTGCTCTTCCTTGCGCCAGGTCCTCCCCCGGTAGACCCCCTCCCCCCTCAGGGTCCTGCTCCGTCTGGTGTGTCCCAGGTAGACGCTGTGTGAGACTGTCGAGGTAGCTGTTGACTCTGGTGCTGCTAGGGCGCTGTGCCTGCTGCGGTGCCGGTTCTGGGGGTGCGGAGCCTGGGGGTAATGAGCCTGGGGTGCTGAGTCTGGGGGTGCTGAGCCTAGGGGTGCTGAGCCTGGGGGTGCGGAGCCTGGGGGTGCTGACCTGGGGGTGCGGAGCGTGGGAGTGCTGAGCCTGGGGGTGCGGAGCCTGGGGGTGCTGGGTCTACTTGTGTGGCCTCTGGCGGTGCTTCGTCGAGGCGGGAGCTACTCTCTTCGTAGGAGCTGCGCGAGTGGTTTGCCCGGCACTGGAGCCGTGCTGCTGGAGCTGGAGGTACTACTGTTGCTGCTGGTCCGGTAGGTGCTCGTCCTGGCGGTTCTGGAGCTGCTGGGACTGGGAGTCCTGCTGGAGGTGCTACTGGAGCTACGGGAGCTGCTGGCGGTACTTCAGCTGACGGTCCTACTGGAGTTGGTCTGCTGGCTGGAGCTGCTGGAGCTGGAGCTGCTTGGGGTGTTAGCGCTGTTTTTGCTGGCGCTGGTGCTTCTGAGGGTGCTGGAGTTGGCGTTGTTGGAGCTGGAGGTGCTGCTGGTGCTGGTGCTACCGCTGGAGGTACTGGTGCTGTCCCTACTGGTTCTAGAGGCGCTGCGCGGCCAGGCCGTACTTCTTCCGCTCCTTGAGCAGGTTCTTGGTCTCCCACCCTCTACTGGTCAATTCCTCCCTTAGCGTGTCCAGCAGCCTGTCCAGGTCGCGCTAGTCGCGGTAACAGTTACAGCCCGCCTCCCCCCTGCATGCTCTGTCTCCCTAACACTGGTCCTACAGGAGTCTTGCTGAGCGTCGTGAGCCTGCGTCTCGTCCTGCGTCGCCTATTCGTGCTGCTCGCACTAGTGGTCGTGCTCCGCATCCGCGTCCTCCTGCTGGTCCCTAGCACACACCAGATGGCACTCGTCCTTCCACTGCTCCTCTGCGTGTCCCGTTGCCGTCTCCTCCAGAGTCCTCTCTTCCTACTCTTGCTGACCCCGGAGTCAGACTCTCTTCATGCTGCCAGTCCTACTGTCACGCGCGTCTCCTGGCTACTGTTGTCACTAACCCTTCCTTTGAGTCCACTGCTACGTCTGCCTTAGTTGCTGAGCTTGTCAACTTTGCTGCTCGTTGTTGTCTAGACTACGCTGCTAGTCTTGTTGCTGAGTCTGAGTCTGTCTGTCCTTCGTCCGTCGGGGGTGAGTGTGGCTCTTAGCATTTACGTCCTTGAGGACAGGCAGGAGGATTCCAGTGTTTTGCTGCTGCTTTGCCTCATCTCGTGTCCACGCTGATTGCCCTGAGGGAGACCCGGATGCACCAGACATCCCGACTCCTCGATCGTAACGCTGAGGCGATCGAGGGTCCCTACTCCTCACAGCAGTGGCAGTCAGCCATGGACGCAGAGATGGCTTCCTGAAAGTCCACAGGCATCTACTCGTGACGACGAGGTTCCCCCATATGGGGCGAACATCGTCAGTGCCATGTGGATTTTCTGGGTGAAGCGGCCGCCGGGTTCTCTGCCTGTCTTCAAGGCGCAT